AGGATATACTACGGAGAGAACTGCAAAGCACATCTGACAGGAATAACCCCCTGTTTAGCTGAGAAACTCTCAAAACTACTTGCTCACCTTACCTTACGTACCACAACATCTCCAAGAGCCACACGATATCTAAACAGTCCGCTCTACGTTGGAACCAACATTTAACACCCCTACTACATAAACGACTTGGTGCAGCTATATAGCGCCCACAGATACCCAGTTATCTCCCCCTTTACCTATTGCCTTCGTCATGATGTGCAAGACTAACTATCATGATGAAACATACTATGATACCCAAGATGGGCATACACCCAAACACGACATGACGCAGCGATGAGCGCGCGCTATTGGTTATGCCTTTTGTTTGCTTTATACTTGGTTTGCCCTCTGCGATGTTTGTCCACGAGACTGACCTGTAGCGATATTGCAAAGAGTCGAGACAACACCTAGCAATTACTACTGCGTGAAGCTTTGCTTATACGGTCTACAATGTTGACACGAGAGGTTATTGAGCGCCTGAAACCCTCAGAAGAGTCCTACTGGATACCGAATGCCGATGAAAGGACGAAGATGAGGACTGCTTGTTTGATTTGTTGATTTTCTTTTTGGGAACTGTCTGACTGTCAGTCAATGATTGCCGCCCTGAGCTGAAGAAGCCAGATCAAGATAGTTAAGCCGGCTCTGGCACAGATTGTTTGACTCTAGATTTGACAGGATGTCTTGGGGCAGAGTAGATACCAGAACCAGACAGATCAAGATCAGACAGAGAATGAAGATTGATTTGACGAAGATATTGCTCCTGGTGTAAGTGACGTGTGCTAAAGTTTCTTGATGTCAAATCACTATGCTTAGTGATACCAAGACCGACAATCCTTCGTGATTATTTGCCTTGAGATCTTGTATTACTAGGTCATTAATTCGTTTTCCGCAGGGTATCATAAACGGCCTTCCAAAGCCCCCATCACGCCCCCTCGTGCTTCACTGTAGTATCGCCTTCTTCTTCATGATGCTCCGTCTGGTCAGCCTGTTCCGTCTCGCCTTCAGCCTTGCCATCTTTGTCCATGACGTTCTCGAACTGCGACCATAGTGCCTCGACCGAGGAGAATTCGTTGCCGACCTGTGCAACAATCTCAATTAGCTTGGCAATATTGAAAGGGAATGTTGTCCATACAGCGGTGACTGCCTCGAGAGATCGGTTCAACTTGTTGATGTTGGCCAAGACGTGCTCAAAGCTCTGGACAGCATAATGTTAACATAAACGCCAACTTATTGACTATGAGGAGACATGACGTGCCATTGCGATCTCGCCAATCAGAGCCTCGCGCTGCTGCTCAAAGTACGTCTTCTCGTGACCGCCCATCGCGGATGCTGATCTTGAGTGGGAAGCCATAACGAATGTATTTCTGTGTGTACTTTCAAGGCCATGGAATGGAAGATTGTCTGTCGTTGGTTTCAACGCGTTGACCCCAGTGTGAGGAAGTTTTGGCGGGGTTGTTTACTTTGGTTACTTTTACAGTGGGTATTCACTCTAATTAGTGGGGTCGGCTCATGAAGCCCTTGAGTCTCTCACGACACAGTCTGACGAAACATCAAAGTAACAGTTCAGCAGAAAGCATGATAACAGGTTATGTCTGCTTGCATTATTAACTTCGCTTGTCCAAACAATAAAATCAGTGACAGTGTAGGTATAGAGTTTACATGGAATTCAGACCGCTCATGCTGCATAGCCCATCGCCTCAGTTACGCCAAACCCGTGATGGTACTCCTAGATGCTTCCTCTTATCTACCTCCTATAGTGATCTGGTGGAGGCCTTTCGTACTCATGTGGTCTCAATGCTCCCCTCATCATATCTCTTGGATCAACTCGAGGATCTCCCCGCAGATCTCTTGTATCATGGCCGGGATAAACCGGTGCCCCTGGCGGAGGCTGGGGCGGCCCGCGTGAGTCGTAACTACTGATGGGCGTGTAGCTGCGGCCAGGGATCTCTCGAGGCGGGCCAGGGCCAGGAGTCGAAGCATAACGTGAGTATGGCTGCGGAGGTGGCACTGACTCTGGGCCACGTGACACTGTTGGTGGGTAGCGTCCTTGCATCTGATGCTGCTGCGGCGGCATGCCAGGTCCACTGGCAAAGTAAGGATTACGCCCATCGTCTCTCATGGACATATGGTGAGCTTGCTGAGGCGGGGGCTGTGAAGGTGGTTGTGAAGGTGCCCAAGATGGCGCTGGGGTTTGAGGCTTGGACGAGGGATGTTGCGTAGGCCACGGTTGTTGCTGTTGCTGCTGCGGTGGGGGTTGAGCATTTGGTGGCTGTTGAGATGCCCATCCAGGCGGCTGCTGCATGCCGGAAGGAGGTTGCTGAGGCGGCGGCCATGAAGCCTCGCGGCCACCTTGAGGTACTTCTCGTGCCCGAGAGGCAGATGGATGAAGCGCATATTGCCCTCCTGGCGATCCGGCATGGGCTGGTTGACCTGTTGCAGCGTATGAAGTCGGATACCCCTGGTTCTGGTACTGAGGAGGTCCCGGGGGTCCAGGGGGTCCAGGAGGTCCAGGAGGAGCATATCGGTGGCCACTTTGTGGTGAGTTCGTTCGGCTATGGCTACTGGGTTGGTAAGGATTCTGTCTGTAGTAGTCCCTTTCTGCTGCTGCTTCTAGGGACACCCCAATGGACGCCCTCGAACTACCCATGTGCTGAGGCTGAGGGGAATCCGCATATGTTGGCTTGAGGGATGGCATTACTGGGGTTCCTCGGCCGTAAGGAGAGTATGACTCTGCCTCGCCCCGTCGTATCTGAGAAGGCGGTGCTGGGCCTGGGAGCGTACGGCCCATGGCCTGAGGCGGAGGAGTAGGTGATGGTCTGGTAGGAGTGCTAGTCACATCACTGACACGTTTGGGCTGTGGAGGAGGATCGTCATTAAGCAGTGACATGATGTTGAGACCTCCCTTACGAGGCTCTGCTGGACGTGGCGCCACTGCCGGTGGTTGAACTGGAGTACCAGATTGGGGTGTTACCGAGCCATATTGTTCGTGCATCGAACCAGATGACGGTCTATGTTGGAGAGCAGAAATGGGGCGGCTGGATGGAGTGTTCATCTGAG